AACGGAACGAGACCCCAGGAAAACTAAACAGGACGCTGCCAAAACTAAACGAGACCATAGGAAAACTAACCAGGACCTTACCACAACTAAACGAGACCCTAGGAAAACTAAACAGGCCCCAGCAACATTAAATTAGACTTAGGAAAACTAAACAGGACTTTTGCAAAAACTAAACGAAACCTTAGGACAACTAAACATGACCCTACCAAAACTAACCGAGACCATAGGACAACTAAACATGACCTTACCAAAACTAACCGAGACCATAGGACAATTGAACAGGACCTTAGCAAAACTAAACGAGACCCAAGGACAACTAAACAGGACCCTGCCAAAACTAAACGAGACCCTAGGAAAATTGAACAGGACCCTAGCAAAACTAAACAAGACCGTAGGGAAACTAAACAGGACCTTACCACAACTAAACGAGACCCTAGGAAAACTAAACAGGCCCCTAGCAAAATTTCGCGAGACCCTAGGACAACTAAACAGGACCCTAGCACAACTAAACGAGACCCTAGGACATTTAAACAGGACCCCGCCAAACAATAAACGAGGCTCTCGGGAAACTAAACAGGACCCTGCCAAAACTAAACGAGACCTAGGGACAATTAAACATGACCTCAGGAAAACTAAACGAGACCCTAGGAAAACTAAACATGACCCGACCACAACAAAATGAGACCATGGGAAAACGAAACAAGACCTAGCCAAAACTAAACGAGACCCTAGGAAAGCTAAACAGGACCCTGCCAAAACTAAACAAGACCCTAGGAAAAATGAACAAGACCCTAGGACAATTTCACGAGACTCGAGGCAAACTAAACAAGACCCTAGCACAATTAAACGAGACCATAGGAAAACTAAACAGGACCCTACCAAAACTAAACGAGACCCTAGGACAGCTAAACATGACCCTGCCAAAACTAAACGAGACCTCAGGAAAACTAAACAGGGCCCTAGCAAAATTAAGCGGGACCAGAGGAAAACTAAACAGGACCCTACCAATACTAAACAAGACCCTAGGAAAACTAAACATGACCCTGCCAAAGCTAAACGAGACCCTAGGAAAACTAAACATGACCCTGCCAAAACTAACCGAGACCACAGGACAACTAAACAGGACCCCCCCCAAAAAAAAAAAAAAAAAAACTAACCAAGACCCCATGAAACCTAAACTTGCCCTCAGCAAAACTAAACGAGACCATAGGAAAAGGACGCAGTGCCCTACCAAAACTAAACGAGACCCTAGGAACACCCAACAAGACCCTACCAAATCTAAACGAGACCCTAGGAAAGCTAAACAGGACCCTACCAAAAGCAAACGGTACCCTAGGTCAACTAAACGAGACCCTAGGAAAACTAAACGAGACCATAGGACAATTAAGCAGGACCCGAGCAAAACTAAACGAGACTTTAGCAAACAAATAAAAATAATGTATATATATGTATATAAATAATTATATATATATATATATATATATATATATATATATATATATATATATATATATACACACATATATATATATATATATATATATATAAAAAAAAAAAAAAAAAAAAAAAAAAAAAAAAAAAAAAAAAAAAAAAAAAAAAAAAAAAAAAAAAAAAAAAAAAAAAAAAAAACGAATCCGGACCCCACCAAAACTAAACAAGCCCCTAGGAAAACTATACAGGACCTTGCCAAAAGTAAACGAGACCCTAGGGAAACTCAACAGGACCCCACCAAAACTAAACGAGACCCCAGGAAAACTAAACAGGACCCCACCAAAACTAGCCGAGACCATAGGAAAACTCAACCGGTCCCTAGCAATATTCCACGAGACCTTAGCAAAACTAAACGAGACCCTGGGAAGAGTAAACAGGACCCTAGCAAAACGAAGCGCGACCCTACGTTAACTAAACAGCACCCTGCCAACGCTAAACGAGACCCTAGGACAATTAAACATGATCCTAGCAAAACTAAACGAGACCCTAGGACAACGAAACATGACCATACCAAAACTAAACGAGACCCTAGGAAAACTAGACATGACCTTACCAAAACTAAGCGAGACCCTAGGACAACTAAACAGGACCCTGCCAAAGCTAAACGATACCTTAGGAAGACTAAACAGGACCCCAGCACAACCAAGCGGGACCATAGGAAAACTAAAAAGGACCGTAGCAAAAGTGAACGAGACCCTAGGACAATTAAACAGGACCTTAGCAAAACTACACGAGACCATAGGAAAACTAAACAGGACCTTACCAAAACTAAACGAGACCCTAGGAAAACTAAACATGACCCTTGCACAACTAAGTGAGACCTTAGGAAAACTAAACAGGACCCGAGCAAAACTCAACGAGACCATAGGAAAACGAAACAGGACCCTACCAAAGCTAAATGAGACCCTAGGAACACTAAACAGGAATTTGCCACAACTAAACGAGACCCTAGGGCAATCCAACAGGACCCTAGCAAAACTAAACGAGACCCTAGGACAACAGAACAAGACCTTAGCAAAACTAAACGAGACCCTAGGACAATTAACCAGGACCCTAGCAAAACTAAACCAGACCATAGGAAACTAAACAAGACCCTACCAAATCTCAACGAGACCATAGGACAACTAAACAGGACCTTACCAAAAGCAAACGTGACCCTAGGACAACTAAACGAGACTCCAAGAAACTAAACGAGACCATAGGACAACTAAACAGGACCCGAGCAAAACTAAACGAGACCTTAGGGAAAAAAAAAAAAAAAAAAAAAAAAAAAAAAAAAAAAAAAAAAAAAAAAAAAAAAAAAAAAAAAAAAAAAAAAAAAACTAATCAGGACCCCACCACAACTAAACAAGACCCTAGGCAAACTAAACAGGACCTTGCCAAAACTAAACGAGACGCTAGGAAAACTAAACAGGACCCTAGGACAACTAAACGATATCATTGGAAAACTAAACACGACCCCACCACAACTAAACGAAGCCGTAGGAAGATTAAACAGGACCCTAGCAGAACTAAACGAGACCCGAGGAAAACTAAACAGGACCCTACCAAAACTAACCGAGACCATAGGAAAACTCAACAGGACCCTAACAACACTAAACGAGGCCCTAGGAGAATTAAACAGGACCCTACCAAAATTTAACGAGACCCTAGGACAACTAAACAAGACCCTAGCAAAACGAAACAAGACCCTAGGACAATTACACATGACCCTACCAAAATTCAAGGAGACCCTAGGAAAACTAAATAAACATGGCCCTAGCAAAACTAAACGAGACCCCAGGAAAACTAAACAGGACCCTAGCAAAACTAAACGAGACCCTAGGACAACTAAACAGGACACCGCCAAAACAATAAACGAGACCCTCGGAACACTAAACAGGACCCTGCCAACATTAAACAAGACCATAGGACAACTAAGCATGACCTTGGGAAAACTAAACGAGACCTTAGGAAAGCTAACCAGGACCCTACCAAAACTAAACGAGACCCTAGGACAAGCAAGCACGGCCCTACCAAAACTAAACGAGACCCCCGGAAAATTAAACAGGGCTTTGCCAAAAACTAAAGGAGATCCTAGGACAACCTAGCACAACTAAACGGGGCCCTAGGAAATTTCGACAGGGCCCTACCAAAACTAAACGAGACCTTAGGACAACTGAACAGGACCCTACCAAAATTAAACGAGATTTTAGGAACACTAAACAGGACCCTTCCAAAACTAAGCGAGACCCTAGGACAACTAAACATGACCTTCGCAAAATTAAACGAGACCCTAGGAGAATTGAACAGGACCCTAGCAAAACTAAACGAGACCCTAGGAAATTTAAACAGGACCTTAGCAAAACTAAACGAGACCCTAGGAAAACGAACCAGGACCCTAGCAAAACTAAACGAGACCCTAGGAAAACCAAACATGACCTTAGAAAAACTAAACGATACTCTAGGAAAACTGAACAGGACCCCACCAAAACTAAACGAGCCCTTAAGGAAATTAAACAGGACCCTAGCAAAACTAAACGAGACCCTAGGACATTTAGACAGGACCCCGCCAAAAAATAAACGAAACCCCAGGACAACTAAACAGGAGCCCACCAAAACTAAACGAGACCCTCGGAAAACTAAACAGGACCTCGGGACAATTAAACGAGACCTCAGGACAATTAAACAGGATCTTACCAAAACTAAACGAGACCCCAGGAAAACTAAACAGTCCCTAGCAAAACTAAATGAGACCCTCGGAAAACTAAACGAGACCATGGGACAATTGAGCAAGACCCTATGCCAAAAAAAAAAAAAATAATGAAAACTAAACCAAACCCCAGGACAACTAAGCAATACCCTCGGGAAACTAGACAACACCCGAGGAAAAATATACAAGATCTTGGGACAACTTTACAAGACCATAGGAAAACTAAACAAGACCACCGGAAAACTAAACAAGACCTTGGGGAAACTAAGCAAGGCCCTAGGAAAACTAGACAAGACCATAGGACAACTAAACAAGACCTTCGGACAACTAGACAAGACCCCAATTAAAGAAGACCCTAGGACAACTGAACAGGACCTTAGAAAAAATTAAACAAGACCTTAGGAAACTAAACAAGACCTTCGGACAACTATACAAGATCCTTGGAAAAGTAAATAAGACCCTCGGAAAACTAAACAATTCCTTAGCAAAACTAGACAAGGCCTTAGGACAACTAACCAGGACCCGACCAAAAGTAA